ATGTAACTCACACATCGCAAACCTGATGACTTAGCTACAAACACCGCGGTAAATTTAGACGCAAGTAAAAAGTTGTTGAAACATACTCTGGTTACTTCTATGCAAATAGCACGGTAATATATGCATCGTACACCTGATAAATTAGGTACAAAAACCATGGTAACTTTAACCCCTGGGAAAGAAGTGGTTGAAAACACACCTCCGGTCACTTCTGCATAAATAACATGTTAATTTACATATAACATAACTGATAACTTTACGGTAACTTTTGAACAAAAAAGTCATCAAAACAGGCCAACATGAGATCTTGTTTCGAAGTTCTCGTCGTGACGGATTTTTTATGTGAAAACGGTTTTTTCAACGACGGTTTGAGCTATAAAATAATTTACAGTTTCAAAATAACGAAAATCTACAATGTCATCTGCTTTCCTGTGCTCTAGTGCATTTGCATGTGGGGAGAACGTTGGAGGAGACATTTTTTTGTCCGGGTAATTTCTATATAAACATGATGGTAAATGACGTACCACAAAGGTGATAACTTATTTAGTGTAGGTCTGGTAACTTTTGACCCGAAAAAAAAGTCGTCGAAATATACCAATATGGGATCTAGTTTCGAAGATCTCGTCGCAACGAATCTTTCATGTGAAAACAGTTTTTAAATCGGAGCAACGGTTTAACCTACAAAACATTTTAAAGTTTTAAATTTGATTTAATTTTTGATGACATCATCAGTTTTGTCCTATATACATGCATGCACCTATTAGGGAAAAAATTAGACGAATATGTTTATTTTCGTATTAAAAAAAGAATCAACACCCGGCAACATCTGTTACTTATCTTCCGGTCGACTGGAAGTTAGCACTGTCCTTACAAAAACTACCACAACTAGATGCCACAATTGGGCCTAATTATCGGCTCATATCACTCCGCTCTCTTCCCCAACCGCACGAGAGGCGATTTGGGAGGAGAACCAATGGCCCCTTCCTCCGGCGGCAAAGCCACAAGTCCCCACCTCCATCGCCGGCCCAGGTGCTTAGGCTTCGGCCGGTAGTTAAGGTGCAAAATTTTTATTGTGGTTTCAGTAGGACCTACAAATAAGGCAGGCGATATCCTCCTTCAACCATCTCGAACAAAGATGGCATCGTCTGGATCTAATGGGACAAAGCAGGTTCGTATGCGAAGGTGCCCTTCTAGATATGGCTTCGGGCAGTGCAAGACGGTGCAATAGGCGGTGCGCCAAGGACTATGGAACGGTGCGTTTTTTTTTTTTTTTTGGAGAGGTGGATCAGTGTGTATGTGTGTTGTGTTTTTGGGGTCCTTCACCGTGCAGCTAATACTCATCCGCAGCCTGCACCATGTTCTTCGTTTTGAAGCTTAAGGAGATGTCGCGGGAGCTCATAAACGATATCTGCGTGCAATCAAATGTTCAATATAGTACTAAGCCAAAGTAGCTTAGCAAAATTCTTCAAATTCTTCAAATTTTGACAACAAAAATTAAATCCGAACAAACAAAGAGCTCATTTCACCTGCCTATAACAAGCTAATTTCATCATGCGCCAAACAAGTCAACCATCAAAATTAAGCTCAAGGATAATATTCATTAAGTACTTTAATTAGAAAGTACTCCCTTCATTCCTAAATATTTGTCTTTCTAGAGATCTCAAAAATGACTACATACAGAGCAAAATGAGTGAATCTACGCTCTAAAATATATCTACATACATCCGTATGTCGTAGTCCATTTGGAATCTCTAAAAAGACAAATATTTAGGACCGGAGGAAGTAAGGTGCAAAAAGTAACGAGCAGATTAAATGGCCGATAAGAGTACTTGAGTAGAAACTAACATACAACTCTGGCAAACTCATGACAATAGAGTACCCATCATGTTCATGGTAAACTGCATCAGGTACAAACCCAAGAAAGCTACTCCAGTAACAAAACTTACAATGATAAAGTACCCATGTTCACGCAAAATTGCAACAATTACCAACCCAAGAAAACTGAAAGTAGCGGGTAGATTTTTCCAACAAAGTGCGAAGGACTGTAACCATCTTAAGCAGAGGCAGCAGGAGCCTTGGTGGCAGCAGACAGCTTCGACCTCCTCTTGGCCATGCTCTCGCTCCGGCGGTCCCTCTGCTCCTTCAGCCTTTGTGCAAGCAGCTTCTGGTACTCCGCAGCCTCGGACTTCTTCTTGGCAATCCTCTTCTTCTTGTCTGCGATTCTGGCGCGCTTCCTCTGGAGGGTCAAGGGAGTCACAAGACGCTGGATCTTGGGAGCCTTGCTCACCTTCTTGCCTGGAAATAACAATCAATGTGATCCAGGTAAGAAAGCGGTAAATGAGAGACACAAAACTGCTCAGACAAGCACTATGATATTAAAGGAAATAGTAGTAACTTTCCTTAAGACAAGTGAAAGATGGCAAAATAACACAGCAGGATCCACGATGGAACAGGAATAGGGCTAATGCAGTAAACTAACACAGTTGAAAGCTCACCCTTCTTGTTAAGGAAGGTCCTGCGGTACGTGTTGACATAGCTGCGGACATCATCGTCCTTGCCAAGGTTGAAGAGCTTCTTGATCTTGGAAGCCCTCTTGGGTCCCCTCATCCTGGGCTTCTCAGTGTCAGTAAGGCCTGGCAGATCATTCTCACCCTTCTTGACAATGACCAAGTTGATAACAGATAGGTCTTGGCTGACAATGCAACCACGGACGGATTTCCGCCTGCGCTCACCATTACGCCTGCCAAAACCACGGAAGCAAGGTGTGCCTGCAGAATTGACGCAAAAGAGATGCAGGTAAGATTTCAATCCAAGAGGGAAAATGTAAGTAATAAGAAGTACAATGGAAATAAAGTTATACCCCTGTGAAGCAGAAGGCGGACACGCCCAGAAGTTAGCACTCCTTGCTTCATCGGGAAACCCTGCTTATCGCAGCCACCCATGATCTTGAAGATGTAACCCTTGAATTCCTGAAAATACAGGAAATGACAGATATCTTTGATCAAACTATCAAAACATCCGGAAGGGTTATTTATCATGAAAGAAGTTACTAGTAGATTACCTCACCCAGAAGATCACCAACTACCTCCTGGGAGATTCTCTTGTCATAAAGGTTGCGCCTGTAGTTCATACCAAAATGTTAGATATAGCCAAACAAAAAAAAAATGGAAACTCCAACAGGAATATTATGTCAATCAACATACATTAATATACTGATCATTAGCCACCCACTAAAAGCCTGCTTATGGTGATTTCAGAAGTAAACTACTTTGTTTTATCACAATGCCCATAAAATAGTTAAAACAGCTAATTTCATTATGTCATGGCATCATCCGTCATATTTTTGAAGCAGTTGAAAAAACAGTGCAACCTTGTTCATGGCATCACACGGTCCATTCTTACCTATGTTTTTCAAAACTAAAGTACTGAGCATCAAAAGATATTTGAAGCCATTCACTGTTAATCAAGTTGTTAAGAATGTGGGAAGGGTTGGATATGCTTAGCCATCTAATATTGCTGTACGCTTGCTAAGTCGAATACAAATATACAATTTGAGAGTAAACAATCTTAATATACATTTATCTGCAGCTCAAAGTAAGAAAATAAACATAGTGTGCTCGATGCAATTTGAAACCACACTGAAAATATAGCAAACATCCTTGATACAGTATTACTGTTATAAGAAGACTGTCAATAGCCCTCAAAGAACTTTAATTCCAGTCCACTCCAACATCAAAAGTTTCAACAGGATTCTAATCGCACCATAACACTTATAAGAGCGTCCTATTAACACACAATCATAAATAATGGTTCCACGCACAAGACTACAGCATTCACGATTCCACAAAAGTGGAAACAGAAACGCGATTTCCCAATAGCAATCAAGCATGGCGATTCCACGACGCGGATCTAAAGGGCGAAGGGCGAGATGAGAAACACTCACAGCTTCTGGTCGTCATCGATCTCGACCTTCTTCTGGCACCCCGTGGTGGGGTTCGCGATGTTCAACTGAAACCAAGGCAAAAACCACACGAATCAGGCGTCGCACAGGAACAGATCACATCAGAGCGCATCGGGAGGTGAGGAGAGCGCAGTCTCGGGTCAGATATGCGGGCATCGGAAGGAGGGGAGAAGTGCGTACCTTCATGGTGGAGTCGCGGCACGAGCTCGCCGGCGGCGAGCAACCCGAACGCTGGGTGGAGCGGCGGCGGCGCGGTTGCTCGAGGGGTAGGGTTTTGGGCGAAGAGGGTGCGGCGGAAATGTGTGGAGCAGGTTATATAGGTGGGGGCGTTGAGTGGGCCGCTATTGTCCAGCCACGGGCTCCGAAGTTGATCTGGGCCTGAAGTACAAAATGGGCTTGTGCCCGCATATATGGGAGCGACACGTTTTTTTTATAAAAAAAAAACTTGCATGATTGTATGTTGAGGTGTGTCTTATCTCATCCATAATTATATAGTGATGTGGCATACTTGTATGTTAAAATAAATAAGTTAGTGGGATGACTCTTTTAGGTATAAAAGATTGTCATTAGTTAAATGCAGTTGCACTCTGGATTGCCTCTTACAAATGATTTCATTATTAGTTATTCCTTTCTTCGTAAGCACTTGACTGTCGTTATTGCTACGGTATGTTATTGTCCAATATGCCAAATTATATATATTAAGAACTGTGAAACCCATAAGTGTTATTACATTTTGTTAGAATGCACTCATGTGCATTGCAAGTAGAGAAACACAATAATAATGGGATTTGCGTGTGCGTTTTTGATTCACGAGAAGGTAGATACTACATGGCGGGGTAAAATCAGATAAACTTTGTGCATACATTTTTCCTAGATGGGATGAAGTAATTTTTTATTCAACCTTACATGCAGCTTACACTTCCATTAACCTCCACAGGTTGGGGTGGATGTGCTATCTTTTAGGCACTACACTTCCATTAACCTGATAATTGCATGGGATGAAAAGAGTTTTTTCTTCAACCTTACATGCAACTTATAATTTCTCTAGCCTGGAAGTTGCATGCAAATAGTTTTTTATTCTGACAACTTACCTTGCTTGATTCACGAGATATTAGCAGTGCGGAGCTTTCTAACCCTGTGCTTACTTGAATGTAGTAAAGATCATCCAACCTTCTTTCAAGGGTGGCGGCACATCAATTAGGTGGAACTGAGATGTTGCTGTATTGAGCACCAGCATACCGGAGGCTCCCTTCCCAGAGGTCCAGTACACGAATCCATCAACCACCTTGCCAGGTTTGAAGGAGCTGGCGTCATTGGGCACCAGGGCCCTTTGTTTCCACCCATGGAAAAATCTACCACTCCATGGTGTGCGAGGATCTCGCGGAGTAGGTCGTCGCCGAGGGTGCATATGGTGGTTCGAGTGGGTGCCGGCCGTCTCGCCGGTGGCGGCGATGGTGGGGAGGACATGGCGATTCGGATGGGAGCTCTCAGAAATGGCGATTTTTTCCTAGACGAGAAACGGCGACCTTTTTTTTTTTAGGAACAGAAATGGCGACCTTAGGGTTGGGAAGAGCACAATAACTGTGGGCCGGCCCAATTGCCAAAAACTTTCCAGAAAATTCGAGAAAACAACTTAGCTTTGTCCTAATGATTTTCCCTGCAAAAATATGTTGAGTAGAAATTATTCGCATGGTTCCTATTTTTTTTTATCCTTTATTTACACACTTTTCTAATTGCTTTGCTAGAAATATTTTACATGTGTTCTAGCATTCTATATTTCCATTTTCAATTATTTTATTATAGTAATTATTTTTTCTCCAACGAATTTGCTTTTCTTATATTTATGTTTGCAAGAACATTAGCTGTTCCACAGATTTTCTTTTCCCGCCAAGGTTACCTACTTTATAAGTTTGTATATTTGTTTATGACAACAAAATTTGTTCCGCACACTTCCATATGTTCTCAGCAGCCATCCTCTTTTGTTCCTTAGATACTTGTTTGTAGAAATAAAGCACATCTTCCCGCAAAAAAAGAAAAAGAAATGAAGCACATCAGGATTTTTGTTCTTGTATTAGTCGTTTTTATTTTTCATGGATAATTGTTGAAACAACAAAATTTTATTCATTTGTTCAGTGTGGCCGTATTTTTGGTTCATTGTTTGTAAAAGAATCCACGCGATAATTTCATATATGAAAACTTAGTACGGATCTAGAAAATAGTTTGTCTTGGGATGAAATTTAGACTTGTTTTTAGTTGGGGGTGACAATTGGACTTGAGAGAAAGAGCTACAGGTATGAAATTGACATTTTCCAGTTGATCATATGTCCATGAAAGAGTGACATTCCAGCACACACAACTAGGCCTCTAACCCATATTTTTCAGAAGACTATGATGTCGAGCTCATGTGACAGACTCATGTAGATGTTAGAATTCTAGAGTTGCCATGGTGGAAATAAAACACCATAAAGTTCGACACCCATAGATGGTCGAAAGCTTTTTTTTTTCTCAAAGACAGAAAATCATTCATTCCAACCTCTGCAAAGTTACCATCACACCCTGCATCATGCGTCAAAGTGCAGCAAAGAGGAAAAAAAACTACAGGACTTATGTGAGAAAAGGTTGTAATGCTCGCCATCCTTTGGTTAGAGAAGACCAGTTCAATCACAATAATTCAAAACGGTGCCTAGGCCCATCTACACCCGACGAACAGTAAATAAAAAAAGTAAACAAAATTTAAAAAAACTGAAATTTTTAGTCATCCAAGATGCTCGTGTGCGCAAGGTGCGTGCAAATTTTTGTGGTATGCGACAAGCTTATCCATTACTATATCTATGTATTGTAGATCATATTGGGAAAATCCTGCATGACTCGTTGTGCACATGAATGCTTGTTCTTCTGCAGAATTTATTAGTTAAATACTTGGTGATGTCCAGTGTGTACTGAAAATGCCTCCATGTAGTGAAACAGGTTGAGATTGTTACAATGCTTTGGACAGAGATCATCTCAAGTATTTTTAAGCTGCATATCGTTCGATACTCGGACTCCAACTTTTGTCCTGCAAATTATGTCAAGAAGAATACGACAATGAAGAGACGTTTAGTAAAATATTTATTCTGTTGATCTCCTGATACCCTTAAATACCTTATCTTAGCCCTTCTATTTGTGGTCTGCTGCTTTATGAAACAATTCATTACCTGTGATTAGACTTTGGCTAATGGTCTTAGCGCGAACTGGTTATATACCAAGTAAAAATGTAAGCTCAAAGGAAAGTAAAAATATGAACCCAGAGTTTGAATCCAGGCTTTTGCAATAGAACCATGAACTGCCAGCTGACAACACTATTGTTTCGGTATATTGTTAGTTACTCGTGTAAGGGAGACCTTTTATGCTGCATAATTACCCGTGTTTTAGAGGGCACTCTCTGCTTTTTGTCGTTTTACTTTCTGAAATTGAACAGAAAAGACCGAGTAGGAAGCTTGCATGGGTTTGTATAACAATTCTGAGCCCTTCAAATCAAATGGTTCATCCACTGAAGCACTCTATTTTGTCTATAGTTTTGTACAAGTTTGGAGTGCTGTGTGCACTGCCCGTAGCGTGCCATAACAACCGCTTGCACAGCAGGGGTTTCGCGCAGCACAGGTAATCTTCCTCTCCCTCTAGAACTCAATGTATCTCTTAGGTGCAAGAGTTTGCATATGTTGGACTTGATTTGAGTAGGCTGCATCAGAAGCAAGAGTCGAGGGAAAAAAAACTCACAAAAGGTTATGGATAGTTTAGAAGCAAGTTATTGTGCCTCTACAGCTCCAACTTACTCAAAAGCAGAAACTAGGCATTTCGGCATAATTAAACCACACGAGTCAATTACATAGCTTCAGCAACAGAATATTACTGCGACAAAGTTCCTCAACCCTGTGTTGACTGAATGACACGCAGGCGTGGAAGTTACAGCTAGGCGTTACATTACATGGATGACAGATTGACAACCAAAGATAAATCTGCATCCTTGCAATGAGCATATGATCAGCTCACTTCTTTGGCATTTGTGGCCTTCTCGCGTGTAGTTTCGGTCCTGGTCTCCATTTGCATTGTCAGCTCAATGCTATCAGTACCAACTGCATCTTCAGTGCTACTTGTTTGATCACTTACCTTGCAAGACTCACTTATGCTTTCAGAGGAGCTCAGCTGCTCTGCCTCTTTGGTGGAGGTAGAGAAGATGCTTCCCTCGTCTTCATCGCCTCCTTTGCTCACATCCTGCCATTCTAGCCTCCTCAAGAAACCTTCTTCGATCTCGCTAAGCGATGGATATTTATCCTCGTCGTTGTCGATGGTGCAAGGCAAACGAAACTCAAATGAGGTGTGCCTCCTGGACGAACCAATTAGCTGTTCGCTGTCCATTATCAGGTTGTTGGCCTTGTCAAAACTCTTTGAGCTTTCACTACTGTCATCACCATATTTCTCAGTCCCACTGTCATTGCCATCACCTTGATTGTGCTCACGATCCACCTCATCAAGTCCATCGGATAAAGTTGGCGATGACGAAAATGTCGAATATGATCCTTCATCCTCCTCGCGTTCTCTGAGTGTTTTGAGAACCAATGTCTTGAGCAAGTTCATGACTTGAACAGCATGCATCAGAGCAGTAAGAGGATCTGACATCTGATTGCAAGAGAATCATTCGCCAATGTTAGCAACTGTGTCAAAAAGAAATGTTTCAAGTAAGGGAAATGTGGCAAGCAAATCTGTACCTGTGTCATATTGGGTGCGAAAACCATTGCGATATTTCGTGCATTCATCTTGTTTGACCCCTCTTCTTCGACAACATCAGCCATGAGCTCTACAACCCAGCTGAGAAGTGCAGCATATGTTACAGGAATATGCCTCACCAGCTCCACACATTGTTCCTCGGTGTTGCAGTTCAGGACTTGCTCTGGTGAGAGGCTATCAAGCACACCTTCGGGTAGTTCCCTGAACCAGGCCTGCATCGAATTGAACAACATAATTAACCCCTATGCTTTCACCATGCAGGAGTACCAAATGTGTGAAAATCCAAAACACATAAAAATTGAAGAAAAAATAAATAAGCTAAAGGTGTCAGGAAATCGACATTAATTATTTCATCAGTATCATAGTAGCATTTTTTCTGTCAGAAGAAAGCTAGTTAATTAGAAGTACACCAGTACACTCTT